GGTAACCTGGTGTAAACATTCAATGAAATCTCACATCCTTTCTCTAAAGTCTATTTTTTTCCGTAAAAAGTATGGAAATTTAAATAAAGACTTCACTAGTTGATAAAATACATGTTTAGGTATCCTATCATGATGTTTTAGATATTTTGACATTTTCATCCTAATCGACTAAATTTTGAGGTGAAGCTCCCCCTTAAAACATAGCCTATCGAAGGGAAGATGGCTGTGAAACTCATTAGAATAACAATATAACTCATTATCTATGTTGGTTAACGTTTATTCATAAACCTGGTCCTTCACCGTCACGTGTGTATTGTATTTTTGCCCAACTAACCAATAGCAATGTTTTAGGAAAGTCACCTCTTCGAGACTCGAACAATAGGGAAACTGCAAATTGCTATTGGAGGATTTGGTAAAAATACAATACAACACGTGACGGTGAAAGGACCAGATTGATGAATAAACGTTGACTAACATAGATAACGAGTTATATTGTTATTCTAATGAGTTTCACAGCCATCTTCCCTTCGATAGGCTATGGTTTAACAGAACAAAGACACAGTCTGCAAACCCTCGTCCTCGATAGACGTCAGTTTCATGCCCTGTATATGCGAGACAATTCATTGAAAAATATGGCTGTAAAGAGCAAAGAGATATTTAGTAAAGTAAATAATAGTTATAAACACTAGTACTGTATCTTCACTTAATGTTTTCCTTCGCTTTTTACGGTAAAGCTCACTGTTACTTTTTCACGGTGCAGTTGCCATCCAAAAATGGCGGACAAAGTCTGATCGCATGGCAATAAAACTTGGCACAATGTACAATATAATTTCGAAACTAGAACAAATGGAAGTTTTAAAACCAGACCAATCGTCCAATCTTTTTATTGCTAATATTTGTATTTATCCACAATGAAAAATAATTGTAAACCAAATATTCCTTGTGGTCTATTTCACGTATCATTTTGAAAAAAACGCAAACTTGTCATGAAGGACAAGTAAAAACTATCTTTACAATACCTTATTAAACAATAATAATCTAAATAACATCATAACACATTGGTATGAGTTTTAAAAGTTTTCAACTTAGTTCTTTATTTCAACCTGCTCCGTTTTTAGATCCAAACGTGGCTGGACTTTCTCTGTCTCGTTCTTGGGAGGAGTGACTGCTACCATTTGCTGCTGAATAAGCTCTTGTTTTGGGCCGCTTGGCTTTGCTCTGTTTTGAGGGGGAATTTGCGCAGTACGGACGCTTCTTCTGTCCGGTATCTGCTGTCTTCGTTTCTTCTGCTTGTCGCCACTGCTGTTAGCTGTTGTGGTAGCGACTGGTTCTCGTTTTTGGTTCGCTTGTTTTTGTTTTCTTTGATGCTCGATTTCTTTATCTTCGGCGAAGAATTGTTGCACGTTGCTTAACATCTGTTGATGTTGCTGATTTCTGAACATTTGTTGCTGTTGGTGCTGCTGTGGTTGTATTTGTTGCTGAGGTCTGGGTAAGGCCTGAAACTGGTACGCTGCTATTTGGGGTTGGGCAGCACCGACTGGATTAAAAGCCCTTCGACTTGGCATCGGATGAACAGTTTTTAATCGTGTTTGCGGATTCAACTGCTTTTCTTTTAGGGTACTTAAATGGTACCCGACTTTGTTGGGTCTTTGTATTGGTTCTGGCATTCGGTGAGGAACTGGTGCGCCGCGACCAGCTGTCACTAATTGCCTCATCATGGATGCTGGTTTATGTACAAGTACGCCAGGTTGGTTGGCAACACTCGTGGTGGTGGGGTAGCTGGGGCCAGTGGTTCTGTAGGTGAGCCCAGCAGGGTAGTTGGTTGGTGTTAATTGCTGTACAGGAACTTGAACTTGACGTGGAAACGAACCCACAGCACCTGGGAATTGGTGGAAACTCAAGCGGGAAACTGGTAATGCATGAGCTGGTGTTACAATCGGCGATGTCCCAGTGTGATCGCTAGACGATACGCTGCCTTGCAATGCTGTAGCACCAGTGGCCTGCATGGACAACACGGCATTGTTCACGTGATAAGCAGGTGTTACATTACTTTGTCCTGACACTGTTGGTACCTGGCGAACGTTCGGGGCAATCTGGTGGGTAGCACTTCCAGAAGGGCCACTAGTTGGAGGTTGAAATGGTTTAGCATGGACATGTTTCGACATCTCAGATTGCCCTGGAGGTGTATATTGTTGTTCCTGTCGTCCTGACGGTGTTCGACTATCACGCTGGTGCTGTATTTGTTTGTCACTTGAAGGGAATGTCACTGATTTGGGCACGTGTACCGGCATACCACCGAGATTCGCCTGGTTTGTGTTATTACTATAAAATCCTACAGGGTGTTGACGCTGTGGTTGCATGTAGTCCGAGTAAGGCTGTTGCTCAACTGGTAAGAAAACTTGTTGGGTTGTTGTAACTGCAGCCTCATAACCATGGCTTTGATTTTGAGATTTTGGAGCTTGCACAGTGTACATGGAATTGCTGATATCTTCGCTCATCGTTGCCGGAAATTGGGGTTGGGCTGCAGGTCTTACAACTGATATAGGGAAATACTGATTGCCTGCATATGTATTTGTCGAATACAAGGCAGTTGGTTGTATCAATGCGCGATAGCTATCTTGTATTAAAGGTTGATGGGAGAGTTGTGATGGTGTACTGACAGATTGTCCCTGTGGGTAGGTTGCCGCACGTTGTGGGGGTGATTGTGAGGCGGCATGTAGTGTCTGTGGTCGCACAGGTGAAACGTGATGTCGCTGTATGCTCGACATATCTGTTTGGACATACTGATGGCTAATTGGGACAAGTGTTTGTTGCTCAAAGGAATATGTAAACCCTTGAGGTGCTGGTTTTGAGGTGAAGATAGCCGCTTGATGTGGTTGTACGGTGTAACTAGCTTGCGCTGGACTGTCTAACACGGGTCTTGTAGTCGCAGTCGGGTATTCCTCGGGTACTTCAGAAGGAACAGGTTGAGGTTTTACAGGTTGTTGCTGCTGTTGTGGTTTTACTTTACAAACATTTTGTTGTTCACCGGCTATTGGCTTCTTTAATCTGGGCGTTGTAACAAGAGGTTCAGAGCTTTCCTCAGGTTCAGGTGCGGGTATGGGGATTTGATCCACAACCGAAACCTTCGCTGACTCGGTATTTTCATCATTCGTTACTAATGCATTCCACTGGGATGTCTGTATAGGGCAAGATGAGACACTGTCATCCCATGCTTTTTTAGCCGCTTCCATTTTTTCTAGCATTTCGAAGTCCATTTTAATATCATCCTCAGTTTTGATCTTGACCATAGATGCATTTCCAGATCCTGCTTTTGACGTTTCCACTATATTATGAACACCAAGTGGCGTTTCATCGAGAAGAGATTCGCTCATCGACTGAACATCAAGCTCGTCAACGGAGTCACGTTTATTCATATTCTGCTGTCGTTCTTCATTTTCAGTTTTGTCCTGGAAGTTAAAATGTAATAGCTGTTATTGTAATTGAATACGTCTATGCTACGGACCAGCGGTATCTGCATTATTTTGACATGGAGACGAGGCTATAGGGTCATGCTTTGTGTTTTTTGACCCTTTAGCCTCGTTTTCGTGCGTACTTCCATTGAGATACCGCTGGTTCGCCGCAGCGGCGTATTCAATTACGATAACAGCTATTGTTAAAATTTTAATCATGTGTTAACGTTTGTGCATAATGTATTTTAATTAATTAAACTGCTCAGTATATCGTGACTACTAGCATCATTTCTTTGTCTGACAGACCAATCAAATGAAAAGCCGCATGTCACGCCCTCTTTAACTTCCATCCACCTGCATTTAAGAAAAAATACTCTTATTGGTGCAGTGTTGCTGCAGGAGGAAACCAGGCAACATCATATATACCTGTGAATTTCTTTCGATGTTTGGGTCTCTGTTTTCATCAGAGTTGTGTGACTTTGCATTCTTAACCTGAGGTTTTGCTTTCTGTGTTTTGTTTACATCTCGGGGACGAGAAGCACTGCGTGGTCTGCCATCATTCTTCTAAAAATTTATTAATATTATTAGTTTCATAAATTATTCATAAACTTATGAAGCAATGGCGGACACTGGGGCCAACCAAGCTGTAACAATACTTTTACAACCAAGAAAGCAATGGCCAAGCGGCAACAAGTTTAAAGAACTGAGATTTGCAACAAATGCTGGTAATGTGGATTGTGGTGGCAACTTAAATCGCCCCCCCCCCTCTCCCAATGCTTCGCAAAGTGCCGCCACTGTAATATCATTTATAGCTAACTTAACTACATACTTACACAAGGTGCATAAAAAAGGTAATCCAGTTTTAGTATGTTCACGAGCGTTAAAATGTGGGAAAATGTGATTTCGACCATTTGTTCATTTTTGCTTGGAATGATACAAAAATTGTGTCATTCAACAGATTAAACCCAATCTTTACTAATATGAAAAAATTAAATCTATACACCCAATAATAAAATCACAGAAGCACGCTAAATACGGGTTACCTTTTTTATACACTCTACCCTATACAATTGTTCCGAGGAGAACAAGTTTGCGTTCCAACAAAAAATTTTATCGAAATTTCTTTGTGGATAAAGAAAACTTCGGAACGCTTATGGACCAAAGTCAACTGTTTATTAAAAAGTGGAATTAATATCTAAACAGTCCAATAAATGCCAAGGTTCTTACCTCTTTAGGTTTATCCGTATCGGGTTGTGACTTTGGTTCGCCGTTGTCTTTGGTATCAGCCTTAAGTCTCCTACCATCCGTGTTGCGTTTTCCCGGAACACTCTTCTCAAATCTTGGAGGACGTGAAGACTTCCAATTGTTGCCAGTGGGTTGACGTTTGTTGTTTTCGGAATTCTTATTGCTAACACTGGACTCAGTTGTTTTAACATTGTGTGCATTCATCTTGCTTTCTTCTTTTTGTGTATTGGATCCTGTTGATTGTATGCCATCTGGTTTTTTACTCTCCGTTTGTTCTGCAATATTTTCATCGCTTGTTTTCTTCAGTGGACTGTTAACATTAGGTTCACCCCCATCTGTTTCGTCAACTCTAGAGAACATTCGAGATTCAGAATTCTGAGAACCAATGTCCCGTTGTCCAGCCAGTTGAAAAGTAGCCGGCAAAGTTACTTGTATTTGCAGTCCCGGCTCTTCTGCTTTCGGCTGAGCACCACTAGCCCGTTGGGGCTTCCCGCTTCCAACTGCCAATGGATCTGGCTGGGTTATTCTTGGTAATTCTGCCGATGCTTCATTGGGAGGTTTTGCAGGCGTGATAGAAAGTGGCTTGGTCCAAGCATTAAACATTGGAGGTGGTGGTGGAGAGCTTGGTTTCTCTAACATCAATGGAGAAACACGTTTTTGTTCCACGTTTGCTGAAGCCAGAGCAGTAATTGTATTATTCTCGGGGATAGCTACAGGAGTAACACTGCTTGGTAGTGTATTTCCTTCAGGTAGAGTTGAAACCACATTCGACGGTACTCCCGTGTTTCTTGCAAATCTAGGTGGTTTGGATGTCGAGTGCTGCTTGTTTTGCAAGGAAGATTTATTTGTTTTGGGTTTTAGCATTGCATCCTGCATCATTTTTTCTAATTCGCGTCGCTTTCGTTCTTCTTCTTCACGGGCTCTTTCCCTCTGTTCTTTTTGCGTTCTCTTTGATTTCACTTCAACAAAATCACTTTGGGGTGAGGCAGGTTCAAATTCACTAGCAGGCTGTGCAATATCATCAATATCAATGAAGCCAGCAATGTTACTCATATCGATATGTTCGATGCCCACCTTTTGCGGTTCAGTACGCCTTGGGTTCTTCTTAGGAGGTTCCAGGTTATCATCACCGTCTGCTGGCGCAGGTTCGTTCTTTGCGCGACGACCGTGTGTTGTCAAAGCAGCAGGAATGGTCGACTTAGCGCCAAAACGTCCACCCCCTTTCCTCGAAGAACCTTCAACTACTTCCTGCTGCTTTTTGGCTAAAAAAGAATTCTTATTGCCAGAATGACCACCACGAACCGCCTTACGTCCTCTATAACTACCATCGGAGTCCTTTTCGTTTGAATACGATGTATCCGGCGGACGCTTTTTGGGCAAAGGTCCTTCATCGGAGTTCCTGCTATCTCTATTCTTTGAAATGTTCTCATCCCAGTTATCTTTGGAAGAAAATCCTCCTCGGTTACTCTTTCCTCGACCTCTGCTAGCACTTCTTGCTTCTTGTCTTTGAAAACGTGGCGGTTTCTCTGGCTGTTTCCGTGGGCTACGGGTTATCTGTGAACTCCCTCTTCCCCTTCCGCGAGAACTATAGGACCCTCTTGATCGACTACTCGAATAATACGATCGAGTTGGCCTCTTGTCATCTCTTCGTCCGTCATCTTGCTTATCAAACACTTCTTCTGAATCCGACTCGTCAGAATCAACAGATGAATGAGCACTGTGGTAATCTTCGGAATCATTTTCATCATCATTCTTTGATGCTGCACTACCTTTTCCTATGGGTTTTCCACTACTTATCACACGTCCACGACCACGACCACGCATCCCGCGTGTTCCACCATGACTACCACGTCTTGAAGACGCATCACCGCGACGAGTTTCGTTGTACCGTCGGCGATCTCCCCCAGGGCTTAATGTACCTACAGTAAATCTATCAGATTGTTTTTTCATGGAAGAAAGATACTCATCTTGCTTCTCAGTTCTTTCACTCTCTCTATTAGCATCTTGTTTTTGAGGAATAGATTCATTCGGATGAATATCTTTATTTTGTTCTTCTCCTTTGACACCAGGTTTACGTGGCTTATCAACGTTCGACTCTAGTTTTTCATTACTTACTGGCTTGATTTTATCACGCCGATCTGTTCGGTCACTTTGTTCTGTACGATCACGACGATCTATACGTTCTCGTTGATCTGTGCGATCTCGCCGATCACTTTGTTCTGTGCGATACCGCCGATCTACACGCTCACGTTGTTCTGTGCGATCACGACGATCCGTATTCTCGCGACGATCATTTCCCTCCCGTTGCTCCGTGCGATCTCGACGATCCATACGCTCACGTTGATCCGTACGATCCCGACGATCTGTTCGCTCACGTTGATCCGTTCGATTACGTTCATTTCTATTACGTTGGTCGGGTTTGTCTTGGTCTCGTTGGTCGCGCTGGTCTTTCCGATCGCGGGAATATGAATTATTACGCCGATCAGTATGATCCTGTGTCCTATCAGATTGCCGGGTCGCATCACGATTTTCTCTTTGCACATCCTTTCGTTCTTCTGCTCTAGAGTTTATTTCACTGTCCCAATTTTCGGCACCTGATTTGACAGGAGCTTTGCGTTCGTCATTTCTTTTTGGTTGTTCACGACGCGTCTCATCACGCGGACGGGGTCGTCTATCATCCTGTCTGTGACGACCATCACGATAGATTTCTGTTTCACGTCTCTTTTCAACTTTCGTGTCACCCAAATCACTCTTGGAGAAGTTCTGTTGCTCTCTTTCTTTGTTAGGCACTATTCGTTCACGCCTTTCTCCTTTTTTCGACTCATACTTTTCAACTTTCGTGTCACCCGAATCACTCTTGGA